GAACTCCCGGACCGCGAGATCATGACCTGGCTAAAGTCGGACGCCTAACCGACTGCGCCACCCAGGCGCCCCATATCATCCTATTTCTATGGGAAAGATAAGCCATTAAAGAATTTTTTTTTTTCTCCTGTCATGGTTTATTTAAGTGTATTGTAATTAGTGATACTTCGATAAACTTTCTTTTATCTTTACAACCCATATCTGGCAATGCCATGTGAGTTTTCAGCACTGTTGTAAAAGTTGCTTTTTTCACTTATGAGTTGTAAGGTCACAGGGCATTAAATTTTTCTTATTGAGACGAGCCATAAATATTGTTCGAATGGATGACCATCACCTGCTGGATGTCATCAATGCCCTTGTCTCTGTAGTGTGCTGTAAGTTTTACTTTTGTCCTTCTTCAGCATCAGTATTTCGTATGAAACAGAAAGAAGTTTAATCTTTTCCCCCAATGTGTTCACTTTGTCTATTCCTTTTTGTTGACTGGTAGGAGCATTATGTCTAAGGACTTGAACCCCAGGTATTTGTGGATTTGGACTCTGGAAAGCAGAGAAAGCATTAATGCACTTAAGGGGACATGTGTGACAAAGGGAGAATGGACACAGGGAACACGCATACATACTCGTGTATATGAGGAGTATAAATATTGGAAATGGAGATGTTGTTAAAGGAAAAACACACGGGGGGCCACAGTTCCCAAACACTCATAGTCACTTAAACAAGATTCAAACTGTCCCAACTTCCCCGAAATACTGGCTCTGACCTTCAACAAAACTCCCATGATGACAGGATAGAGGTGACATATCACAAACCACCTGGTTATGACAGTTGCCAATAATGATACCTTCCTTTCTATAGTTGTTGACTACATCTGCAGCAAGAAAACTCCCTCCTCCTCTCTCCCTCTCCTCCCCTCCCTCCCTCCACCCCTCTTCCTCCCCTTTCCCTCTCTCCCCCTCTTTCTTCTCTCCCCTTTCCCCCTCTTCCTCTCCCCCCCCACTCCATTTCTCTCTGTTTTCTTTTGTTGCTTTCAATTATTCCAAGTACACTGCACTGTTATTTAGTTATGTCAAAGTAAATGGAGAGAAAAGCCTGGAGCACGAGATCAACATAAATTGGGGAAATCGTGCAAAATCACAAAATAATTCTTGGTGCTTGCAGAGACAAAGGCACTGAAATAGACCCACACTCTCCCTAAGATAGTGAAGGTTGACAACCTCTGGAATTAAAAATGATATTTGCGGGGCGCCTGGGTGGCGCAGTCGGTTGAGCGTCAGACTTCAGCCAGGTCACGATCTCGCGGTCCGTGAGTTCGAGCCCCGCGTCGGGCTCTGGGCTGATGGCTCAGAGCCTGGAGCCTGTTTCCGATTCTGTGTCTCCCTCTCTCTCTGCCCCTCCCCCGTTCATGCTCTGTCTCTCTCTGTCCCAAAAATAAATAAGCGTTGAAAAAAAAAATTAAAAAAAAAAAATGATGTTTGCTGCTTCTTATCTCTTAGATTCCAAAGAATACTGTCCATTGTAATGAGAAATTTGTCTCTTTTTAACTAGTGTCCTGAAGTTAACTAGCATCAACTGTAATGAGAAATTAGTCTCTTTTTAACATGCAAGTGTTTGCATGTGCAAGAGACTGTGCGTGTGCTATCAAGAGACCGGTAATGCCACCTGACGTGTACAGCTGCTTTCAGTTTCCAAAATCTGTTCAAAAACATTACCTTGTTTAATGCTAATAGCAACTCGGTGGGATCTATAGAAAAGGCATTGGCATCGATGCCAGGGGAAAGAACAGAAGGGAAGTTCCAATTAGTCGCCTCTTCCAGGCGACATCCAGGCAGGATGCTTAGGGGACAGCAATCTTTAGCAGAGTGAAATGGAAAACAATGAGTCAAAAAAACAAATTTCAAACATGAAGGAAATAATTGGTAAGCTGGACTTCCCTAAAATTAAACACATCTGCTCTGCAACAGACAAATATAGGTCAAAAAATAAAACAGGCCATAGATTAGAAGTAAATATTTGCAAAAGACATATCGATAAAGGACTGGTATTCAAAATGTTTTTAAAAAAACTCTTAACAACCAAAATACAACCTGATTAAGAATGAGCCACAGACCTTAAACAGCCACCTCACCAAAGATCTATAGATAGCAAGCAAGCATATGAAAAGATGCTCCACACCATCTGTCATCAGGGAAATGATGAGTAGAACAACTATGGGTATCGCTACACACGAGACATTACTACACGTCTATGAGAATGGCCCAGATCTAGGACGGTGGTAACACCACACACTGGGGAGACCGTAGAGCAGCAGGAACTCGGGACACAAGATGGTCCAGCCACTTTGGAAGACAGTTTGGCATCTCTTACAAAACATCTTCTTACCATGGGATCCATCAGTTGTACCCCCTGGTATTTACCCAAAGGAGCTGAAAACATGTCACACAAAACCTGCACACGCATAGCGTGGCTTTACACATAAACTCATAATTGCTGAAACTTGGAAGCAACCAAAATGCCCCTAAGTAAGTGAACGGACAAATAAACTGCGGCACATCCAGGCAATGAAATATTGTTCAGCAACAAAAAGAAATGAACTATATACTCAAGCCATGAAAAAGCACGGAGGAAGCTTGAATGTATATTACTAAGTAAAAGAAGCCCATCGGAAAAGACTATCTACTGTATGATTCCAACTATATGACATTATCGAAAAGGCAAACCTATGGAGACAGTAAAAATAAAAATCAATGGTTTTGAGGGTTTGCAGAAGAGGTAGAGATGAAAAGGCTGAGTACAGAGGATTTTTAGGACAGTGAGACTATTCTGTATGATACTCTAATGATGGCTACATTGGTTGAGACCCACAGGATGTACAACACCAAGAGTGAACCCTAACGTAAACTGTGGACTTTGGGTGACAGTGATGTGTTGATGTGGGTTCATTAGTTGTAACAAATGTACCACTCCATGGGGATGTTGATGTAGGGGAGTCAGCGCATGTATGGAGACAGGGGGTATGTGAGAATCCATGTCCTTGCCCCTTAATTCTGCTATGAACCTAAAACTACCCTAAAAAATTCAATTACTAATTTAAAAAAGTAAATGGCAACAAAAATCCTCAAGATTTAACATTAGTTAAGGGACTGTAACTGCCACAACTAGGGTGGGGTTCATCTCTGTTTTGTGGAAAGCATGTCACAAGTCAATCTTTTCCAATCCCGTCTCACAATGTTAATAGAAAACCCTGAGTGGAAATCAGAATTCAATCGTCAAGTCAGTGCAAGCTGAAACCCTGAATTGCACGGTAGCTTAAGTGCTTTACACATGTGTCAAAGATCAGCTGATTTAGTTACAGCCTTGGTTCTCTGCCCAGCACAGCAATAACGATGGCATTATCAGTGGCACCAGTATGGGATCATCTTTTCGTTCCAGACATATGAATCACTTCAGGTATTGGAACAACAACACAGTGCCTTCTCCCAAGGGAAAGGTTTGCAGCATGACTTAACAAATAGACAATAAGATCAGAAATATTCAATTACACATCCATGGAAAACAGCAATCTTCCCTTGCAGTATCTCTTGGAAAAACCCAGGATAAACAGGGGAGACCAGCCAAATGCCATATTACTTTCACTGAGGAGATGAATGTGATAAAGTGCATATTTCATGAAAGAGATCCATGTCCCCTGTCCCAGAATACTTTGCTTCTAGTCTGAAATGCATGCTGAGTTACCTGAACCACTTCAAACCGTTAACATCGCAGATAGCCAGAAATGGACTGTGCCCCAAATACAACCTTTTGTAAAGTTCTGTTGGCATTATGAGAGCTGTAGGACCAGAGATCGTTAATAAATGCCTTAACTCCATCAAAATCATTTTATTTAGCTCTTTCTTCCAGACATTTCTTATGTAGGATCAATTTTTTTCCACTCTCTTGGTTTAATTATTTTATAGGTGAAAATTGAGCTAGACTTTCTATTTTTTTCAAACAACTGCTGCCTCTGAAAAATCATTCCAGCCTCTCTTTACCTGGATAATTCATATTATCTCTTTCAGCACAGTTCAGACGTCCCTGTGCCGGGAAGACTTCCAGAACGCCTTCCCAGCAAATACCGCACTTACATTCTCTTCCCTTATGGTCCAGTTTAACTGTCTGAGGTTTGCATCTTGCACAAAGACTGGGCTGTGAGGAACTTGAGGGTAGAGAGCCTGTACCTGGTACGGTTACAGGAATGGAGATGTTCATTAAATGTTTAATGAATAAATGATTGGTGAGTGAACCATGGGAACAACATCTTACTTCTCCAACAGATATCAGGTCATACAAATGTAAAAAGTTGATGGAGATCAGTTTCTTTAGATGTAGGGGGATTGAACTACCAGCTCAGCTTTTCTCAAGCTTAATAGATCAATCCCTTTTTCAAAGACTTCTTTGCTTCACTTGAAATATACAGAAAGTTACAAAGCTGAAATAACACACACCCAAAGTCCCACCACTTAGAGTTTTAACTTTACCTTTTATCCTATTTGTTTCTAGTCACTGTTCAAGAGAGAGATGCAAATAAAGGTCCCTTTCAACAGATACCTTGTGCAGATCATGGACTTTCTGCCCCTCGGCTCCAAATTCACCCCTCTTTACTTGCTCTGTGAGGATGGATGTGGGCCCTTTGTCTATTTGTCCACTGCCAGCTCCATGCAGCTCTCTCTTCTCTCTGTGACTCTGTTCTTTGAGCTTTAGCTGCCTTGTCTCCTCTGGTGACTCCCATCTCTTCACCTCATGGAGACCGGTGGGGGGCGCAGGTAGTGTTCCACCTGGTTTCCCCTCTCTTCCCTACGGCCTGGCAGTTTGATGCAGGAAGTGAGCTGGGCTAAGCATACTGAGCACCTCTTTGTTTGCTGTCTATCCGGGATTACTTCTCTTGTTGCCTGATGCTCAGTATTTGGGGAGTCGCTCTGTCCTGTATGCTGTCCAGTGTCTGTTGTTTCAGGCAGAAGGGTAAGTCCAGCTCCCATTACTCCATCTGGGCGAGATGCAGAAGAATGCCTTTTCCTAAGTTTTTAATTGAAATGCTTATGTACTTTTCTCACTCTTTATTTTTTTCCTGATATAAACATTTAAGGCTACAAGTTTTCCTGTGAAGATTTTTTCCACACCTCCCCCCCAATTTTGATATTTGGTTCCCTTGTTATTCATTTTCAAAGTTTCTAATTTCTATTCTGTTATATTGCTTAATCGATTGCCTAAAAGGCTTTGAATCATTGTATTATAAAATATGCACAAAATTGCAGAGACTAGTGCAATGAATCCCTATATACTGTTCCTCCAGATTCAAGTTATCAAGATTTTCCCACATTTGTTTCACCGTTTCATTTCTATTTTATTTTTCTTTGTTATTTTCAAGAAAATCCTAGACATTGTGTCATTTCCCTCCCAGATATATCAGAACATATATGAACCTTACCTTCCTTGCAATCCCTATCAAAATAACACCAGCATTCTTCACAGAGCTGGAACAAACAATCCTAAAATTTGTATGGAGCCAGAAAAGACGCGAATAGCCAAAGTAATCCTGAAAAAGAAAACCAAAGGTGGAGGCAACAGAATCCCAGACCTCCAGATGTATTACAAAGCTATAATCATCAAGACAGTATGGTACTGGTACAAAAACAGACACTCAGATCAATGGGACAGAATGGAGAACCCAGAAATGGACCCACAAACGTATGGCCAAATAATCTCTGACAAAGCAGGAAAGGATATCCAATGGAATAGAGACAGTCTCTTCAACAAATGGTGCTGGGAAAACTGACAGCAACATGAAGAATGAACCTGGACCACTTTCTTATACCATACACAAAAATAAACTCAAAGTGGATGAAAGACCTAAGCATAAGACAGGAAGCCATCAGAAATGCATCCAGGAAGAGCCTGGGTGGCTGAGTGGGTTGAGCGTCCGACCAGCAGAGTCACGATCTCACCTGGTCGTGAGTTCGAGCCCCGCGTCGGGCTCTGGGCTGATGGCTCAGAGCCTGGAGCCTGTTTCCGATTCTGTGTCTCCCTCTCTCTCTGCCCCTCCCCCGTTCATGCTCTGCCTCTCTCTGTCCCAAAAATAAATTAAAAGCGTTGAAAAAATTATTAAAAAAAAAAATCCTCCAGGAGAAGCGGCAAAACCTCTTTGACCTCCAATGTAACAACTTCATATAACACAGCTGAACAAGGAAACAAAAGCAAAAATGAACTAATGGGACCTCATCAAGATAAAATCTTCTGCACAGTGAAGGAAACAATCAGCAAAACTAAAAGGCAACCAATGAGATGGGAGAAGATACTCAAATGACGTTCAGACAAAGAGTTAGGATTCCCAAAATCTATAAGAACATCAAACTCAACACCACGAAAACAAATAATCAAAGTGAAGAAATGGGTCAAAAGACATGAATAGACAGCTTCTCAAGACATCAGATGCAATGGACACATGAAAAAAATACTCTTCACATCACTCATCATCAGGAATACAATTAAAACTACAATGGACACCTCCACACCTGTCAGAATGGCCATACACTAACAACTCAGGCAACAAAGCAGATGTTGGCAAGGATGCAGAGAAAAGAGGACTTTTGCACTGATAGGCGGGAATTTAGCACTGATGACACCAGTTTGCACTGGTGGCAGCCACTCTGGAAACAGTATGAAGTTTCTCAAAAAAATTAAAAAAGAAAACTACCCTCTGACCAGCAATTGCACTACTAGGCATTTATCCACAGGATACAGGTGTGCTGTTCGAAGGACACATGCCATGTTTATAGCAGCACTATCACAATAGCCAAAGT